TTGCAATTATCAACGTTATTTTATTTATTCACGCTTCGATGAGTATGTCAAATTTCGAACATTTTAATAAAACTTGTATCCGAAATTGTTTACAAATTTAATCGTTGATAAATAATTTCAAGTTGAAATTATTGAATTAGAAATAATGTCGCGACCGAAATACAATGAAGTACAAATACGATTAATTTCAATATCTGAATAAAATGAATGAAATCAAAGGAACAAATGAATAAATAAATAAATAAACCAGTGTCACCCAAATGTGATGCCTGTCATCAAACTTCCTTGAGGTGTCTAATGGCGTCGTCACGTAACGGCTTTGCATTCGGCAGGAACATCAATCAGATCTCTGAAACAGACAATACAGGATAAATTATATTAATTCTGTTAAAATAATAATGTTGCTCGCATTAAAATCACTACCAAGTTAAATTCGAATCAAGAATTTACTTATTCACACCGAAATCGAATTATTTTACTAGATTGTAAATTGAAGCAAATCGGAAAATTTGAACTGAAGCACGCCATAATGACCGTTATTCTTCTACACAGTTACTAACTCCCGAATTTCGCGAAAATATATGATATAATCAAATATATCTAAGAAAAAGTGTTAAAACGGAAAGAAAGCAATGTAAATGTTAACAAATGACGACCGAAAACTTGAAATAGAACGGCAAAAAGAGAATAACCGATAGACGCCACCGCATAAATTACATTAATTTAAAAAAAATAATAACAGAACCCGCATTAAAATCATTACCAAGTTAAATTCGATTCAAGAATTTACTTATTAACACCGAAATCGAATTATTTGACTAAATTGTTAAAGCAAATCGGAAAATTTCAACTGAGGCACGCCATAATGGCCGTTATTCTTCTACGCAATTGCTAATTCTCGAGTTTCGCGAACAATATATGATATAATTCAATATGTATATAAGAAAAACTATTTAAGAAAGAAGAAAACAATGTAAAAGTTAAAAAATGACAATTAAAACACTGATATAAAACGGTAAAAGGGGAATGCCCGATAGACGCCACAAAAAATTCTAAGTATGAAAAAGTATAATTACTTTGAGCAAGCTCCAAACACGTCCACCCCGTTCAGTTTCCAAAAAGAAGTGACGCTGGTTGAAGCTCGAACCGGTAACGAACCGTTGGAGAAGGGGAAAGGCCCAGGCTTCTGCGCATGCCCGAGAACCGCGAATTGTTACGTCACTACCTAATAAATAAGTAATTTTTAATTTTTTGAAGATAACACTTTCTTGTTAAATTATTTGTTTATGGCACACAGTTAGAATTATTTTATTGCAAAAAACTGACATCAACATTTCATTAAATTTAATTCCTGGAGCTAATTAAAGCAAAGAGATTAAAAGCTTCTAGAACATTCTAGGACATCTACAGCGATTCATGTATTGATGGAGGACAATCGATCATCTCGAGTGGTAACAAAGTATCACCTACTTTCTTTAGAGGGCTAATCCTCCTATCTATCCTGTATCTCCTCTAGAGACAAACATGGGTACTACTAATCAAACCTGCAACCGCAGACGTAACCTCTAAGTTAAAGAAAGAAACCAGCAATCATGCATCCCGGCATTGTCTTCTTCAAGTAGGTGTAGGCCAAGAAGAGGATTTCCATCATCTAACATGGGATACTTTGCGTTATTTATAATTAAACTCAAGGAAAATGATATGGATCATCGCAGGATCTTCTCTGCAGTTAGGCTATAAGCTTAAACAAGAGGACAGTGTATATTACGATCGGTAGCATCCGATAATTAGGTTAGGAGAAGAGGGTAAGTAGATCAAACTTGGTCTGAGTTAGGATTTCGGTTTTCTTCAATATAATTTCGCTTAAACTTAATATTACACCTATAAAAGCGCGTGTTTTATCCGCAATCATAGCAACCTCAAGTGATTGGACCCGGCTAATCCGTATTATCTTCGATACCATTGTCCTCTGTGAAGGATCATACCGAGTTAATGCTTGTGGATTTAGCACTTATTCTCATAACATTAAACATTTTGAAATGAGGTTTTTCCTGTCATAGTTGAACTGTATTTCTTTGTAAAGTAGAAGATCTAGCATCAGTGTTTTGACATTTGACATACATGTTTCACTTTGCAGGTCTGTGCAGTTCAGTAGCTAATCGTTCTATGGCTAGTGTACTGATATATCAGTGTCTCGAAGTACTAGATAGAAAAATATACTTCATCAAGGAAGGATAGGATGATCAATGATTTAAATCTGAACCAACAGAAAATCTTATGGGAATAATGTTTATGCCGATTTCGCGTATGTGTCACGATGTTATTTCATTGCTGATTCAGTTCATTTTTCCACAGATGGCGCCACTATTTTAATGGTCCGATTTTGTAAGTTCAATGAATCATTCCTATCGAAATATTTTTTCACTTTATATATTTTTAGTTTATTGATTACATAGTTACATGATTTCAGAGAACTCTTGAACATTAATGTCGTCATAGCACACTTTCGGTCACTCGATATACATTAGGATGCATCTGCAGCTGCTTAAGTCTAGAACATCTACCAACACTTGGTGCTAAAACATTGTCTTCCATCTGAGAAGTTTTCCCCTGGACTTTTTCGGAAAGTTTATTGTCTTTTGTTTGCAATCCTAGTTACGAATATACCTGCTGAATCATCGGAAGGACTTTGACGAAATTCAATTCTTTTTAGATCGTTTTGAGAACGTATTACGATCGAATTCCTTCTCGACAGTTAAACGGTTGCTTCCATTGATTCGGCGGTCCCTATTCTTCATACAGGAACCTGTATTTACTGCTGGGTCAGTTATACTCCGCCCCTTACCTTAGCTCCAACGGCGTTTGGTTGTAAAGTGCAGATAGGTAAGGGGACTCTTCCATTCACGACGCTAGGGGCTCGGCGTGCGCCAATAATGACCATGCGCCGAAAGTCTGGGCGGCTCGAGCATCGTGAGTGGAAGAGTCCTCTTTGCACCTGTGCACTTACTTTTAAACCTAAGGACGATGGAACTAACGTGAGAAGCCTACAGTAAATACATCTTAGGTAATTAGTGATCCGACAAGTGCAAGAATCTGGTCAGAACCTTTTGGGATCTGGTCCAAACAACTCTTCCCACAAAGTCAATTTTACTTCAACGGTTTTCTCTTTCAGGCAGTTGCTGGGCTTGTCTTTGATGGATGTATTTTGAAGCAGAAAAACTTTCACCTTCGTTTTTTCTCTGGATTTTTGCAACCATTCTCGAAACACTTGGATGAGTAACCTTTGCAGGATTAGTCATAATGGATCCATATTCATGTTCTCATGTTCTATGGATTTTTTCCGTGACTTGAACCAAAAATTTCGGACATTTTCCTTAATTGTTGATGTTAATAGGTAAGCTTGTTAGCGACAAAGAGTTCCTTACGTTCTCCTGCGAAGGTATATGTTGATTAGAAGGATTTTATTTATTTATTAGAAGAACATTTTAGTTAAGATTAACTAATTCGTAAATGTCTTTGTAGATGTTCCGAGTAACGAATGCGTCATTGGAAATAGACACTGAGAGTTAATGCGAATAAAAAACAAAGTTTATTGTTAATTCTCGCAAACGTGAAAACCTGCAGACAAGTAACAGCAGACTGATAACTTGTTATTCATTTTGGAAGTCAGTGCAGATTGATTCGGCTCGCCAAAGCTTGACGTCCTGCTGCAGCGTCTCTCATAATTGGTAATTATAATCCTTCGATATATTGGTAGATTACTAGGGGATGATACGAGGTTGACGGACAATTTAATTCTACTTCGATACGTTTCCTTGTGCGTAATCCTCGTGTAAGAATTTTATTCAACAAGATAACATTTTGAATTGATTGAACTTTGATTTACAATATTGAATTACACAGTTACTATATTTTATAACGTCTTCATCGCAGGAAAGAGATAATAAGATAGAAGCGATTGAATTAAATAGCAGCTGTCGGCGCTATGGTAGAGCTGTACTACTGAAACATCTTCAACACTGTGGAGGAGGGATACTTCAACGATGGAAATAGTTTTTACCGAATATAATATTACAAAAAATAATTTTCATTGATTCGCAAACATAAATTTTATTATACATTCATGGATTTATCCTGTAAATCACTATATAACATAATAATTTATATACTTACACGTGAAACTAATGTTATTAATTATGTATTGTTTTAAATAATCATAAAGATAGTACTGCAATAATCGATTGTTCTTTGTTTATTTAACATTTAAACCTGTATCCCATTATTCTGTAAGATTATTCTTGTGATTAATATTTTAGAAAATTTGATCAATTGCAACTGAATATCATACATTACATATTCATTTAAGTTACAATATTTTTAGTTAAATGATGTAATATTGAAATATTTAGTCTTGAATACATTAATGTGCACTATTTTAAGTTGAGATACAGCTTTTCTTTATTAGCTATGAAGGGCATTTCAATTTTAAATTACAGTTCAATATGAGAATACTGAACCCTCACTGAAAATGTATATAATTTTCTTACATATAATATAATATGATTTACAGAAAATTAATTTTTATATCTGATACGACTGAAATACTATTCTATAAAAATGTGATTCGGTAAGCCTTGCGTTTTTTACACTTGCAAACGGTTAAACGGAACATTGTAGCCGAAGGTGAAGTCAAGGAGGTTGCGACTAGGGTGGGGACCTTCGTTTGATATTAAATACAATGGAGTCAGACGTTTCATATTTCTCGCAGATCCAAGAGGCGCGCTCCGTAGATTTTTCTAAAGTCTGTCACCGCGTAATTCAGCGTAATCGTGCACGGCGCTGGAAGAAGACAATAACCGAGACACGACGGTCGAAACAGTCGACGTCTACGACGAACCGTCGTCTCGTTACCCGTTTCGGCCTCCAAAATTTCGTCGGGTCCACAATGGCTGCACCGGCAGTTGGCATCGACTTGGGCACGACATACTCATGCGTCGGGGTCTTCCACAATGGAAAAATCGAGATTATCGCGAATGACCAAGGGAACCGTACCACGCCGAGCTACGTCGCGTTCACCGACACCGAGAGGTTAATCGGCGACGCCGCCAAGAACCAAGTAGCCATGAATCCTGCGAACACTATTTTTGGTAGAGACACAGTCAGCACAGAGAATACGCGAACGAACAATCCATTAAAAACTGTATTTTTTAACCGTTTGAGTATCAAGTGGCGCGATCAAGATTCTCCCTTGCACTGTCTAAAAATGCCAGCCTATCGGTTCGTAAAATCAAATTAAATTTTTCTATTGATTTTCCTTCTAACTAGTTATTTTAATTTGTGTTATTACCAGAGTGGAAGTGAAAAAATGAAACGTTCTTACTCTTTAGAATATTTTTGTCTAAAAATCGAGAAGCTTAGTTCAGTTTTTGAATTGAAACGGGTGAAGCGCGATTGCGCCGCATTTTGCGGCCGGGTATCAAACTCAAACGGTTAACAACGATCGAATGCTCCTTGAATATCCGGTCGGGCATGGTTCGGTCTCGACCGTTCGCTGTCAATTACGCGATCGTTGCCAGCATACGATATCCATCCGAGTCGACGGCCAAGGAAGTTTAAAATGAAATCGTCTGACAGACGCGAAGAGGCTGATTGGCAGACGCTTCGATGATCCATCAGTGCAGGCTGACGTGAAACATTGGCCGTTCACGGTTGTTAATAACGGAGGAAAGCCGAAAATCCAGGTCCAGTACAAAGTAAGTTACGCTGATCAACGGAGATCGATATTGCATCGCGCCAGCGTGCGACAGTTTGACGCGGGATTCGATTGAAGCTATCTCTGAGCATGCTATTTCGCTTGAGTATGCTGTTCAGTAAACGGCAGCTTTTAACACGATCATTCTTTGTTTGAAGAAGTTTGCATTGCGGTCGGTGACAGTTGTTCTTCGAAATTTAACTGGTGATTCTTGTTTAAATCGAATTTCCTGTTGTCTTCAAATGGAAACAAGTATGATATTCATAAATTGAAGAATCTCTCGAAAAGCTAAAGGAGAAATACTTCAGCGGAAAAGTTTTGTTCCTCTCTCGAGATTAATTACCCGGCGCATTACTTTCCAGGATGAATCGAAATCTTTTTTTCCTGAGGAGATTTCTTCCATGGTACTGACAAAGATGAAGGAAACCGCGGAAGCTTATTTGGGGAAGAGCATCACGAGCGCCGTGATTACGGTACCAGCGTACTTCAATGACTCCCAGCGTCAGGCAACCAAAGACGCCGGTACTATCTCCGGTTTGAATGTCCTGAGGATCATTAACGAGCCGACTGCCGCAGCTATTGCATACGGCCTCAACAAAAAGGGACGCGGTGAAAGGAACGTTCTGATCTTCGATCTCGGCGGTGGCACTTTCGACGTATCGATACTGACTATCAACGATGGCATATTCGAGGTGAGTCTGTGTAAATCTGCGTTCCTCGCCGATCCTTTTTCCATCGCGCTGGAATCCATCCAGTTGGAGCCGACAGTCGTTCATTCCTAGAACGTTTCATCAGCGTAAAATTATTGTCTAACAAAGTGTCTTATAAAAAAGACACAGAAATCGAATTCTGTACTTAAAAGAATAGTATACTTCCGAATTTATTGCTTGTAACGAGAAAGAGTATTATGGAAAATTGTCGGTGGACTTTATAAATTATTACAGTTTATACAACTTGTCACCTAAATTTCTGATTGCACGTTAGGGACAATAATTAGAATATGGTATTCGCCACAGGTAAAATCTACGGCAGGCGACACTCATCTGGGAGGTGAAGATTTCGACAATCGCATGGTGACACACTTCTCGGAAGAGTTCTCGAGGAAATTCGGGAAAGACCTGACAGACAACAAGCGAGCAGTCCGGCGATTAAGAACAGCTTGCGAGCGGGCGAAGAGGACTCTGTCGTCGTCGACGCAGGCCAACATCGAAATGGACTCTCTCGTCGACGGGATTGACTTTTACACGTCGATCACGCGAGCTCGTTTCGAGGAGCTAAACCAAGATCTGTTCAAGAGTACTTTGATCCCTGTCGAGGAAGCTCTACGCGATGCCAAAATGGAGAAATCGAAAATCAATGAGATTGTGCTCGTTGGCGGGTCCACCAGAATCCCGAAGATACAACGATTGCTGCAGGTTATTTCGTTGAACGAAATTATTTCCTTTATTTTATCTGTCGCTTCTTGATTCTTTAGAAAAATTGCTAATAGTGTTGTGTTTAGAGTCTGAATTTCCCTGACGACGAGTGAGATTCAGGCGTTTTACTCTTCGAATGATCGATTAACCTTATAGATTGGGGTTGAAGTTACAGAATTAATGAGCTCAATTACAAAGTCATCCGCGTTTTTCGATACCATGCATAGTGATCGCGTTGTCGGTAGCATTAGACGGTCTGTTTGAACGTATTTATGACCAAGTTCGAGTTTCGAGTTTCGAGTTTTATCATGGGGACCGATAATCGTAATTAAATTAGCGTATGCTGTCTAACGTTATCGGAACAATAAATCTTAATTAGATCGAAGCTACGATTACCACGGATTTTTAAATATATTTTGAGGTAGTAATGAAATGAATAATACCGGACGAGGAAATGTGCAATTGAAATTTTTCTCATTCCCGCAGGATTTCTTTAATGGAAAGGATCTCAATAAATCGATTAACGCGGACGAAGCGGTGGCTTACGGCGCGGCCGTGCAGGCTGCCATATTGCATGGCGACAAGTCGGATACAGTGCAAGATCTGCTGCTCCTGGACGTTACTCCACTTTCCCTCGGAATCGAGACCGCTGGTGGTGTGATGACTGCTCTCATCAAACGCAACACCACGATTCCGACCAAACAAACGCAAACTTTTACTACCTATTCGGACAATCAGTCGAGCGTTTTGATCCAGGTTTACGAGGGCGAGAGGGCGATGACCAAGGACAACAACCTTCTAGGAAAGTTCGAGCTAACAGGGATACCGCCGGCACCTCGCGGCATGCCTCAAATTGAGGTGAGGCGTTTTTCTCGTTTCAAATCAATTGAGAAATAGTTAGGCATGAAACTGTAATTACTGGAACGGTGAATCAAGTTTAGCGTACACGAGGCAAGACGCATGTTCATATCTTCTTTAGACTTGTGTACTAAATAATGTCGTCTATTATTCAAGTATTTGCTAAAAGGTTTATTATTACACATTGTACTTGATTGTCTGTTGAGGCATTTAACGACTCCACCACTTCAATGATTACCGATCAGCAGTTACAAGATAGTATGAGGGGTGCGTCTGTTTGGCTACGGGTAGATGCAATTAATAAATGATCTGCATAGCTTGGGCCGAAGATAAGGAAGCAATTCTGTAAAAATGAAACTGCTGACATTTTATGGCGACTGGCACAGTGCATTCTGTATATTATTGACAAAGAAAAGCTCTAAGAACTGATAACGCGAAGCACAGACTTCTAGCTGCGAGATGGTTGGAAAACGAGATGGAAAACGTCAGAGAAAGTGGCTCAGTGTCCGCAGCTCCTCTTTTCTTCTAATTTTCTATCCTAGGTAACCTTCGATATCGACGCGAACGGTATTCTGAATGTCTCCGCGGTTGAAAAGTCGACGCACAAGGAGAACAAGATAACGATAACCAACGACAAAGGACGGCTCACCAAAGAGGACATTGAAAGGATGGTGCACGAGGCGGAGAGGTATCATGAGGATGACGAGACGCAGAGGGAGAGGATCGCTGCGAAAAATAATCTTGAGTCCTATTGCTTCAACATGAAGAGCACCGTGGAGAACCAGAAGGTCAAAGAGAAAATTACGGAAGATGACCAGAAACGGGTGACGGATACGTGTAACGATATCATCAAGTGGTTGGATACCAATACATATGGTAGCAAGGAGGACTACGAAGCTAAGCTGAGGGAAGCTGAAAATGTATGTTTCGTTTTCAGTATTTTTTACAGCTATGGATTAAATACTTAATTTTGCTGTTCTTTATTTTAATATTGAAGATGTAAAATTATAGAATATTGAGTAATTTCATTTTTATAAGATTACTGTGGCACATTTCCGCTCTGATATATTTGAGAAACATGTAAGAACTTGTCTCACAGCACCACCATACGTGAACTGTATGAAACATGTAATTAATTTAGATTTCTTCTTTATCTTTAAATAGTAAATGAATCGTGAATCGAGTTCTGACTTAACATCTGAGGATACGAATCTCTCAAACATTTCCTGCATTACCGATATACGATCATTGACCTGATAATTATCTAAATGATAATATTGACAGATGAAGAATTCATGCCTTTAAATTTACGATCTGTTTGATTGTATGGTTTTCAGGTTTGTAAACCGATCATAACGAAGCTGTACGGAAGTGCGGGTGTACAAGGATTCGGAGGATGCAGTGGCCAGACCGGAAGTCCTCCGGATGGTCCGACAATAGAAGAAGTAGAATGACTGATTTCTTTATCCATATTGCCGAGTGCCAGCACTATTTGGACCTAAAATGTTTTTCTCAAAATTTATTGTCATACATGACATCTTGAACCTACCAATAAGATTAAGATTCATAATTATATAAGCTATTCTCTCCTAAGAATTCATACCGTTTCACTGCCCAATATGCTAATAACTATCTACAGGATCAGGAAAGAGGAAATAAACGGGACTAGTTAATTTCCAACGTGTTATTTATTGCAAGCGAGTTTGGGAAAGGTAGTTATCGTAATGATTTCGTAATACATTCGAAATATGCGATAATATTGTCAGACTATCAACGACCTAGTGTCGTTGTTTACGCGTGTGGTGTGTGTACGTGTGTGTGTATGTGTGTGTGCTTGGGTGTGTGTGTGTGTGTATGAGTACTGTGTTTGTGTGCATACGTGTACGTGTGTAACGCGCGTACGAGCATGTATACTTGAAGTGTGGTAGGGTCCGTTTGAACGGGTCCTCCTCGCATCACGTTAAAAACTAAACTTGTATGCTGTAGAGAGAAAGAGAGACAGAGAAAAGTATGTACAGAGTGGGACACTATTAAATAGTAATGACCTTAAAAATATAAGTAAATAGCCTACACGATTAATGGAACGTTTCTTCTCGTAAAAAATAGATTATGCAGAGCACCATGGTTTTTTTCCATTTTTCTTCATCTTCTTCTTCGTCTTCCTCTTCTTCAACATCGGATGAGAAACTCGTGTTATATACAATTGTATTTTACCTTTCGCGCATCTGTCACGTGCCACCGCGATGATCCACGACAAGTAACGCTGCTAGCAAGCACATTACGAAATGTGGCTACTGTTTTTCGGTCGGTCGTGGCGGCGAGATTACAGTGCCGTCGTCGCATCGGCGCGATATATTCTTGCGAACATCGAAAAACAAACGAGGAACAGAAACTGACTATAAATGTGTCGCAAAATTTTATGCCCTGTGCTCAGTCTTTCACACGCGGAAACAATTTTCTCTGACGCTCCACGCGCCACGGTTCGCCTCGAAAACTTTCCAAACGTTTTCAGTATCAAAC